GAGAGAGAGAGAGAGAGAGAGAGAGAGAGAGAGAGAGAGAGAGAGAGAGAGAGAGAGAGAGAGAGAGAGAGAGAGTCGACGGATAGAAGTGGGAGGGAGGGGGTGGCGTATATGCATTGGCTAATGGCATTTGCCGGCAGCCAAGCAATTCATTTGCGGCTTGCGTCAAAGGCAAACGTCGGTCAGGGGGTCAGTCAGTGTGTACGGATGCCACGCAGATGCGACGAAGATGTGTTGAGTGTCCTTGGGACAGGATGCGAGAGAGACTCGAGGGGCTTTGGTCGCTGAGAGAACGATAGCCAAGTCGACTTCTCGAGTGGCTTTTAAATGGATGCAATTATTTGACTCCGCTGTCGATTGCCGGGTGCACGTAAAAGTAGCTTCTTAGCGTGGTCTCGGATCGAAATTCATCCTGCATTACAATAAGTCATGATCTCGTTTAATTTGAATTAGCGATGCACGCGTATCAAACGTCTAGCTAATGGTCAATTTATTGTTTACATCTTACGAGGCCCCATTCAAATAGTCTCGCAGGTTAACGCCCAAAAGCTACTGCCTCTTACAAGCCACTAATAAACACAAGTATACTCGAACATCTGCCGCTGCTGCGGCCGCCGCGTTCCAAAGATTTTCCATCTATACAAGAGCTAATTGCTAATTATCCAGGAATAAGGTTTTGGAAGGTCCACTTGGGAAATGAAATCAAGAGAACAGAAAATACAATCGGATAAGAGGGAGAGCTACAGCAGTAACAGCAGGCGATATTCCCCGGAAAAATTGTCATTCTACACCTCCTTGACCGTGGCGCGGCGCGCCTCCTGCCTTATGGCCTTTGCCTCGGTAGGAGGTTCAATAAATTAACCGAGCCATATGTATCTCAAACGGATCTAAACGTTTACGTAATGACGCGTAGTGGTCCAACTTATATATGTGCGTGTGTGTTTCTTCTTCCGAAATGAAGCTTCTCTATGCTGGTAGAGAAGAGAGGAATTCGACACGGTTAGCATGCACAAGCGGCGAGCGGCGCCCCTTATCGAGAGTCAATCGAAACGGCTGTAGATGCCACTCCTTCCGCGAGCTGATTTATCGCGGCAATACGCGACCGACTCTTTTTGTCTCTCTCTCTCTCTCTCTCTCTCTCTCTCTCTCTCTCTCTCTCGCTCGGCCGTTATCGATCTCGCGCACGTTGACCTTTTTCGGACCACAGAGGTACACAAGCACACCACCATCACCAGAGAGACAGAAATGCGTATATACCTATTGCTGCTGCTGCTGCTGCCACGCGAGCTGTGTCGAATCCCATTACTCGCTCAGAGACCTCCTCGTTAACGTTCCTCATCGGACATTTTTCCATATGCATGGCAACGGCACTGCAACGTTTTCAATGCGAAGGGGGAGAAAAAGGCGGCTTTTTAAAACTAATTTTATGCGACGCTGCACTATATTATATATGCTTTTATGCCATAGTTGAGACTAACGTACATCTTCACATAACTTTCTTTTTCTTTGCGTTTATGGATATATAAAATACATTTAGAATGCCTCGCGCGGGTATAAGACGCAAACCGGCGCGAACATATAGACATCTGTTAGGAATAATTAAAACAAGCTTCCGTCGAGTCACTCGTGAGTAAACAATAGGTCATTGATATTGTATAGATAACACGACATCTTGAAGCGACAAGCATTGATTAACGTCAAGAAGCGTAACAAAAATCACGCGCAAGAAAGAACAAAAGTCAAGTGCGTAGGCTATAAATTTTGAAAGAGAGAGAGAGAGAGAGAGAGAGAGAGAGAGAGAGAGAGAGAGAGAAAGAGGACACATATAACTGAGTCAATATTTTCAAAATTCGTGATTCTCGGGCAATCTTAAATATCTCTGTCCTACTTCTCGAATCTCGGTGCTCGCTCGCTTGCGACGACGACGACAACGAAGAGGGACGCTTTATACATAACAAGTTTCATTTTTCCGAACCGAAGAAGTAATTTTGCGCTCTCTCGCTCGCGCCATAATTGATAAAACTAACTTCACTGCCAACTACAAAGTCTCGTTAATTCTTTCTTCAGCGATTATATGAAAAAAAGAAAAACTTAAAATATCAAACAATCCGGTTCAGAGTGTGTACGTACGCAAAAAGTCGGACGATTACTACTGAATAATAAATCCCTACAGTTCTTGGTCGCGCGAGAATAGGTCTATTTATTAACACTTTGCGATTGTGTGGACAATCGATTATTCGCGCGCCTAATAACCTCGAAACTTGCAATAAAGCCACAGCAAGAGAGAAGAGTGCGGCTGACCCCTCCATGCGGTATATATTTGCTCGAGAGCGTCTCCACTCTCATGCCCATCGTTCAAGTGCTCATATAAACGCGCCAGTCCACCTACTCGCGCGCGTGCGTATATATATTGAATGAGCAGACGTCGGGCTTGCGACGATTCGTTAAAAAAAAAAAAAAAAAGAAGAAAAAAGAAAAGAAAAGAAGAAAGAAGCGAGCTTGCAAGTGAGAGCGAGCGAGAAGAGGGCATTAATAATGAAGGTGCGCGGCTGTACGGACGCCGCGGCGCGATCGATGCGAGCACCACCACCACCGCGCCGCACACCGGTGTATACATAAGCAGAGAGGGTAGCCCCTATACCTAACCCTGCTGCCGAGCACCATCGCCACAAGGCCTTAAAGCCCTTATTAAAGCGGTTCCGTTGGCATGCGTGACTCGCGTGCAGACTCGTCGCGGAACCGACTTCAGACCTTCCCGCACATATACACGCCGCTCGTGGGACAATTTCTTTCCTTTTTTTTTCTCTTTCCGGAGACAACTTTGCTTTCTCTCGTTACAATGAGTCTAATAAACATTTGATATGTCGTGTTTTTTTGGTTTTTCTTTTTAATTGCCGATAATTGCTTATAGGTTTGCGTGATTATTTATGCGAAGACAAGTTTACATAAAGAGATATTAATTTTTCATGTATAAGCACGTGGCTGTGAGAATATGCATGCATCCTCGAACAGAAACGACACTTTTCCATAGCCTGAACTGGATCCATATTCAGTACATGTAAATGTTAATGTATTATTAACACGATAAATATTGTACGAGTAGCTTTCAACTGCGTGCGTGGCCCTCGTTCTCTTTTCTTCTGTAATTTTTTCTGCCTCTTTCTCCACGCGTTGCACCGTCGCGAGAAAAACGCGTCATCAATTTGCCGTTTCTTTCCAGAGCGATAAAGATGACTAATATCGCGCAATCAAATTAACAAAGTTCGCCGCGCGTCGCCGTAAAATAATCAAATTAATTCGCTGCTAAAGCCCGAATAATCGTCAGGACGAAGAATAAAAAGAAGGCCAAAGAAAAATAGCAGTCGGCGCTCGGCCAACTAATTTCGCGCGCGGAGCGCTTGAATAATGAAAATGATAATGGAAAAGAGAGAGAGAGAGAGAGAGAGAGAGAGAGAGAGAGAGAGAGAGGAGAGCGATAACTTGGTCGCAGCTCTCTGTTTTTTTACGTCGCAGCATAGAGATGCTAATCGCTCGCATGCATCAACCGCTAATAAGCCTATACGGATTCGCGAATTGTTATGACACGTCGGAAGTCGGAAACGAGAACGTTCGCGGCCTAGGAAACGAATGATTAATGGGCAGCACGCGACTCACTTGCGGATCGGACTCTCTCGTGTCGAAGCGCAATAAGCACCCTCCTCGGTTATAAGTATAGTGGAATTTTTTTTCGCAAGCGTCGACTGCGGTATAAATATTCCTTGTCAAAGTTTATTCCCAACGTTTGCTCGCTGCTCGAGCAGTCGAAAATAGTACGGGACTGATAAGGTACGAGAGAGAGCATTATTTGGATTTGCTTTTATAAGCTCTATTGCCCGAGATTGGCTAGCATATACTGGAGTGTGCCGCTTGATTATACTTTTTCAAGTGGTGCGCGCGCGAGGATTTTATGTCTGGAAATGTTCCGTCGCTGCACGCATGAATTTCTGCATTTTTTTCTTTATCGCCGGATGCGCGATTTTAATTTGATTTCGAAAATTAAATTTCAATGTTTGTGCTTACGATTTTCATTCAGAATTAAATTGATGTGCACACCGAGGAAAATTGTACTTTCGATGTAGACAGCATAAAAATGAAATAAATCAATGCGGAGAGTGCTCGAGTTCGGAAAAAGATATATTTTATAACTTGCTCGAGTGTTTGAGTTAAAGAGATTAACGAGGTGGGTTTGGAAGAAGAGTTGAATTGTAAAATTAGCGTAAAAGTCGCATTTACATTTGTCGCTGCGAAGAATAATAATGATACGGTATTTGCTTTCTCTCTCTTTCCTCCAGCATGATTTATTTGTATATCAGCTTCTCATTGATCGTAAAGCGATAATCGACTAATCGAGCGCGTTTCCGGTAACGAGCGAACGATTTGATTGCACAAATGGCTCGAGTTTTCAATGGCGCCCTTTGTGCAAGTGGATGATCTTACGCAACTCCTATATATCCTTCAGCGGTATTTACTCAGTAAATATTAAATCTTATCATTCGCTCTCTCATACTGCGGCGCGCACGCCGACACTTAAACTTCGGCAATCTGTCGACAGCCAAAGCTGGAACACATGTGCGCGCCGCTGCTGCTGCTGTTATTTTAAGAGCACCACGCGTCTCCCAACTCCTCCAAGTGCTGCTGTTGCTCATGCTTTCTTTTCCTTGAGGCATTGCCTCGTGTAATGTGTTTTATTAATGAAATCATTGGCTTCGTGACTTTTATCGCACCCGTTAAGATAATAAAAACTAAAAGAACGTTTCAAAGTGGGGAGGGGGAGGATATGCTAATATTTTTTTTCCGATTGTTCAATTGCCCATGCAATTGTTATGTAATTGAACAATCTTTGTTTGTTTCTTTTTCTTTATATGGAAGGGAATAAGGATATCTAGGTAAATCATAAGACGATGAGTTGTTTACTTTGAAACAATAACGTAAGTTATAAATTTATTCACATAAATTAAATAAATTGGAGTTTAGCAAATATTATGTACGTATATATATGTATAATATATACACAGTCGCGTGTGTGCACATATATATACACGCAATGCACGTATACGTTGCGTGATCGCGCGCACGGATACGATAAATTTCCATTTGCGTTTTTCGCTCTTTCTCTTATACATTTTTTTTTTGTTCTGGAGAAAAAAAATAAGATTCGAAAGAAAAACCTATATAAGGATCGAGAATATATCTTACACGAGGCGAAGAGATTAATCGCTTTTAAAAGTATACATATTTACATATCGTACAACAGCCTTCTCATTTAGCAGTCAATATAAAATTATAAAAAATTGCCTATCTAAGACTCTTTTTCCAGAAGCAGGCTTTTTATTATTTTTAATCGATTTCATGACTCTTGCATCACATTAAAATACATCATTCACTCAATTTGGCGCGCATCTCTTACTTATTCGTTCTGTTTCTTTCTTTAAATAAGTATAATATGTACAGAGCCGTACAACGTGCCTACGTAGACCGAACGAGGTCTCGTCATTCGGCACATTTCGTCGTTTAAGCATGTGTTTCGTTTTTATTTTTTAAGTAAAATCTCGTTTTCTCCCGCACATTCATTCGCGCACGCTAGTCATTTTGGCGAGGTAGGCCATCGGCAGTTCACAGAGTCGAAATATACAAAGTGTAAACGAGAAATAAAGAAAATCAGTATTAATATGCATTTCTTTTCTTTCTCTTCCCTTATCATTTTTTCTTTTTTTCACGACGTTCGCACGCGCACTTGCAAGTTCATATGTACGTCTCGTGACCTTTCAAATTCAAATCACTGCCATTCGCGACCAAGACTTATAATCTAGAAGGAAAATAAACCTTACTTTACAGACTATACAAAGGACAAGAAAAAAGGAGTCTTTTTTCATACTTGTTGGACCTATAATACAAAAAGCAAACGCAAGGAACGCATCGAAACAGAACAGAACAACAGAGCCATGGCGAACGTCGTGTACATAGAACGAGCGTGAATTTTCCCCCAAGTGTCCGTACAGGCGTAGAACAATCGCGGAATCAGATATCGGCGAGCGAGCAAGCAAGAGAGCTGCTCAGCAGCTAGCACGTACACAAGCAAGAGAGTAAGAGAGCAGGAGAGAGAGAGAGAGAGAACGGGGAGGGGGCGGGGGGGGGGGAGACAGACAGAGAGAGAGATCGTTAAAACCGGCTCTCTTTCTCTCGTGCGCTGCATGTAACGGTTTATCTCGGGCGCGGCGCACTGCGCTCACACTAGACGAGGTAAGCCTGACCGGACTGCGCGTTGTTGCCCGCCTGGTGATGATGATGATGATGCTGTTGTTGGTGTTGCTGCTGCTGCTGCTGCTGCTGCTGCCTCCAGGCATTCCTCTCGAGAGTCGAGTAGTCCGAGTCGATGGACGAGTAGATGTGCTCGGAGAGTGGTCGTCTGGCCGCATCGTTAGGACCGTCCATCGATGGCTCCTGGTAAGCTCGGTTCATCGTCAGCCTCGGACTCGGGCTGGTGGCGCTGGCCGGAGTGTCGCGGCCATGGACAGCCGGTGTCGCTTCGGAGACGATTCTTGCGTTGTGATGGTGGCCCAAGGTTGCGGTGCTCGAGTAGGCAGGTGGCGCCTGCATGAAGTCGGCCGAGTCCTTGAACAGCGGATGGTGGCCAGCGGCGATGTGCTCGGCGACTCGCAGGCTCGAGGTGCCTTTCTCGGGGCGGCCCTCGAGCGTGTAGGTGTTGACGTTCCGCCGGTAGAGCGAGGACGACTTGCGCCTGAGTGCGTCACCGGGCGGCATGGCGTACCTCAGCCGCTCCCAAAAGCTCTTCTCGCCCCAGCGCACGATGACCGCGGTACGCAGGTAGGGCCTGAGCTCGAGGTCGGTCTCGATCTCGGGCCCGAGGGGCCCGGCTTGCACGACGATCAGCTGCCCGGGCCGGCCGCGCAGCGCCTCGTGCAAAGCTGCTCGGAACTCGAACCGCGCCCACTCGGTCTGCAGGAAGTTGCGCGTCAGCACGATGAGCACGCGCTTGGACGCCTCTGCTGCCTCCAGCACCACCGGCGCGGCCACTCTTATGCACGGCAGGTCCCGATGGTGCAGGCACAACCGGACTCCCACCCCGTGCTCCAGCTCGGCGGCGAGAGTGTGCATCACGAAGTCTTCGTCCTTGGGGCTGTAGCAGACGTAGCCGTCGTACAGCCGCTCCTTGTCCTCGGGCACGGCGGCCTTGGCCCAAAATCGCACCCCGTAGCGCGAGTAGGCCCACGTGCGCACTGGCTCGCGGAAGATGAAGGCCAGCACGGCGAGCACCAACAGCAGCAGGATGGCCGACAGGGTGGCGGCGACCATGGGCAAGTAGTCGGACACCATGATGCTCTCGATCACGCCACCCTGGGCGAAGTAGTCCGAGCAGGCGGTCTCGTTGATGTTGAGCTTGCGCCTGTAGGCCGGGCGCGCCTCGTTGTTGTAGCACCACACCTCGCTGGCGTCGACGACCTTGTGCGCGTTGTCCGACACCCAAGAGGTCAGCTCCTGCAGGAACTTGCAGCGGCAAGACCACGGGTTGCCGCCTAGCGACAGTTCGGCGAGGCGACTGTTGAGGCTGACGTGCCACACGGGGAAGGTGACCAGTCGGTTGCCGTGCAGTCGCAGGATCTCGAGCGAGCGTAGCGGCAGCAGCGTGAGATTGCCAATGTAGCTGATGAGGTTGTTCTGCAGATAGAGCTCCCGCAGATGGGCGAGGTGCTCGAACTCAAAGCCCTTCAGCTCGTGGATGCGATTGTCCTCGAGATGGAGGATCTGCAGGTTGTTGAGGCCGTTGAAGGTGCGATTTTGAATGGACTCGATACCACTGCCGTTTACGTAAAGCACACGCATGTTCTTGCGTCCGATGAACACGTGATTCTGCAGCTCGCGCAGGTCGTTGCCGTCGAGGTAGACTTCCGTGGCGTCCATGGGGATGCGCCGGGGGATGTCGCGACTGCCGAGGCCCGAGCAGTCGACCACATTGGTGTTCCAGGTCTGATCGTGGTAGCACTTGCAGTCGGACGGGCAGGTCATCTCGCAGTCGCAGGCGTCGAAGTCACAGCAGTGACAGAGGGCGAAACAGTGGGCCTCGTAGCGGCAGAGGAACTGCTCGGGCCTGGCTACGGAGGCGGGCACGATGGCGGTGCCGCGGGGTCCGGACACGCGGCACATCGCGTTGTCGAGATCCATCACTCGCGGATGCTGGCGCAGCGCGCTCATGTTATTGATCACCGGCAGCCAGTCCATCGAGCAATTGCAGTTGAAGGGATTGCCGCCGATGTAGAACTCGGGCAACATCTTGTTCTCCGGCACGGGCGTGAGCCGCAGCGAGGTCAGCTCCATGGTCTCGATCATGTTGGCGTACATGTCGACGCGAGTCAAGTTGACCTTGCCCGTGAACGTGTTGGGCCGCACGCTGTTGATGTAGTTGTTGTTGATGAACAACAGCTCGACGCTGTCGGGAATGGACAGCGGCGCGAGCTCGGTGATGCGGTTGTGGCTGGCGTCGAGGGTCCGCACCTTCTGATCGCGGATCTTGTAGTAATTGCCGAGTTTCTCGATGAAGTTGCCGTGGATGTCGAGCCACTTGAGGTTGCTCGGTATGAAAGCGTAGTCGAACCACTCGATGTGGTTCTCGGACAGATTGAGCAGCAACAGACTGGTGATACTGGCGAAGATGCCGTTGATGTCGGATAGGAAGTTGCCGTCGAGCCTGATGGCCTCGAGGCGAGTGTTGCGCTCGAAGGTCTCGATCTCGATGTGCTGCACCTTGTTCTTCGCCAGGTTCAGGATCTGCAGGTTGGGCAGGTCCCAGAGCATGCCCTGCGTGAGATTGCCAATCTCGTTGCCGATAAGCCGCAGCCCGGTGAGCTGATGCAGATTGTGAAAGGAGCCGTTGTGGAACTCGCTGATCTTATTCTCGCCGAGATCGAGGGTTTTGAGGAAGGCGAGGTTGCGCAGAGCCTCGGGCACGCTGCTCAGCTCGTTGCCACTGAGATCCAGCTCCTTCAGATCCGAGCAGTTACGGAAGGCCAGGGGATCGATGCTCGACACCATGTTGCCCGACAGAGTCAATCGGTTGAGCACGAACAGGCCGTTGAAGAGCTGCGGCCCGATAGCGTGCAGACGGTTCTCCGACAGCTCGAGCGTGTGCAGATTGTAGAGCGGCCTGAACGCGTTGCTCTCGATGTGGCCGATCGAGTTGTTCCTCAGATCGAGGATCTGCAGGAAGAACAAGTCCTTGAACATGAGCTCGCTGATGTGAGTGAGCGAGTTGAACGACAGGTCCAGCACGATCAGCCGAATGAGCCCGACGAACGTGGTCTCGTTCACGAAGTCGCTGCCCAGACGATTGCCCGCGAGATTCAGCACGAGCAGCTGCTCGAGGCGCGTGAAGGTGCCGCGCGGCAGCTCGCGCAGCTGATTGTACTGCAGGTGGATCTCGCGCAGGTCGCGCGTGCTCGCGAACAGCGAGCTCGGCAGGTTGCTCAAATTGTTGTAGCTGACGTTGAAGACGCGCAGACTGGTGAGGCCGGTGAGCGCCTCGCTGCTGATGTCGTCGACGAAGTTGTGCTGCAGCAGCAGCTCCTGCAGCTGCCTGAGCGAGGCGAGCGAGCTGTCCTCGGGCAGGCTGCGCAGCTCGTTGCGCGACAAGTCCAGCGCTCGGATGTCCGTGTGGCAGTCGTCGCGCGAGGCGCGCTCGTCCTGCACGAAGCCCAGCTCGCTAATGTTGGAGAACTGGTTGCCCGTGAGGTTGAGCACCAGCAGATTGCCGAGGCCGCAGAGGGCATTGGCGGGAAGCGCCTTCAGATTACTGTCCATTATCTCGAGGGCCTGCAGCTCGCGCAGCCCGGCGAAGGCCTCGGGCGCGACCTCGAGCCGCCTGCTCAGTCCCCACTCGACGTTGAACGTCTGCACGGTGAGCCGCTTGAGCTCGAGCAGCGGCTGGAACGCCGCGTCGGGCATCCTGAGCAGCTTGCAGCCCTCGATGCTGAGCTCGTGCAGGCCGCTCATGCGGTGCCAGCTCTCGCCGCTGAGCGTGCTCTCGAAGTGGTGCACGCTGCTGCAGCCCAGGCGCAACTTGAGGGCACCGTCGAGCGACGGTGCGAGCGCGGCCATGGCCGTCGGGTCGAGAGTCCGCAGGCCGCACACTGCCGAGCGTGTCTCGTTGCCCTCGGTGGACCAGTGACACGAGGCTCGCGCCCGCGACGCTGCCGCCAGGCAGCACAACGCTGACAGCAGCAACAAGCATCGAGCCATGATGCCGTGTTGCGGCGCCTCTTCACTCTCGCGATCGTGAGAGAATCTTGAAGTTGTTCCACGCGTCCAGTATCACGTGAACGAAACTCGAGCCATGGCTCTCTCTCTCTCTCGCACTTTGTATCACTGATCGTCGTCGTCGTTACACGCGCAAACTGCAATCGTAGAACTGCACACGGAGGCACACTTGTTATCAACGGTGGGTTGCTTTCAAGCGAAACGCGCGCGCACACGACTAGTTTGTGTCTCTTGGAGAGATTGTCACAAGGCGAGCATGTTTCTGGCTGACTTGTACGGAGCAACCTTCGCTTGCCGCATGCTCGACTCGAACTGAGCGCTCCGCGGTCGGGCTTCGACTAGTGTATCCTCTCTCGCTGAGGCGAATTGCTGGTGGTGGGAGTAGTTCCGCAAGGGGACGCCACTGCACAAGCCGCACGCGCCCCAACTCCAGCGAGGCGCGCGGCAGCTTGCAACCAAGAGAGAGGCCTGGGGTGGGGGAGATGTGCGTGCATGCACCATTCATTTCCTATCTGCCTACGGCACTGAGGGGGACAAAGGCGTGCGCCGCCAGGTAAAAACTTTTTGGGGGCCGAGAGCCGCTCTGCCGCTGCCGTTCTGTACAATGATCCTATACCTTTTCTCTCCCTGACAACCACTTCTCACAGGCACGCATTGACGGCGATCGAAGATTCAAGCCTAGGGAAAAAAGGAAAATATTTTCTCAAGATTTTCTAGCGATAGTTCGATGTAAAATAGAGCGATCTCGGGTTGAAATTCGAGCGAATTCGCACCCCATGTGCGTTGCAATATTTTTAGAGGACACCTTGACAATGCCGCTTTGAAAGATGTTCTTCGCGCGGATTAATTTTTTTCAATGATGCCGGATTATTAAGTTTCAAGTTGTAATAACACACGCGTGTTTTTTTATGTTTCCTCCAGCCTCTACTCTTGTAATTCTGATGGTTCTTTTCCTCCTGCAATCATCATTTTTCTGACGCTGATGTGATTAAATGTTTTCAACTTTTTGTTCGTGGAATGGAAAAATTTTGTGCGATTTCCACGAAAGCACTTTGAATCGCTAGTTCGTCGTTTTCGCTTCTTTTACATTATAAGTGAACTCAATGGTATTTAATACGTTAACGAAAAATAAAGGATTGTAAATTTCGCTATTATTAAGTGTAAATATTAAGTTTAATTAACATAATTATAGATAAATTAATCGAATTTTCCTACAATTATATGTACTTATATACATTGTTTAATACTTTTCTTTCCAGCAAACATCGAATTAGAAAAATTGATGTAAAATTTTCTTCATTTTATTATCTTTATGAATTAAAATAATAGCACTATATTCAATTGGTAAAGTATTTATCATTAGTAAAAAATAATAGTTTACGGGATAATGTATCTTCTATGATAAAAGAAAAAATTGATCACGGTAGTCTGTAACTTTCTGCGTTATCGATTGGTTAAGATCAATCGGTAATTTACCTGCTATCTTTTTTCGCGAATCGTCGTTTATCATCAATTAGTCACTTAACATTATATATACCAACGTGCTGTTGGTTAATGCGTGTTTCATCTTAACGATAGAAAGTAAAATCATTCGGTACTCTTGGTATAGCTGAAGAAATTTGCCGGATCGTATTGTAAGCCATTATATTATTTATTATTTATTTACTATTGATTAGTGTAATATAGTGTTTTGGATGACAACTTCTGATCCTTGTAAGAAATTCGCTTGCAAACTCCAAAAGTGCTTACAAGGTGAGTTTCTTTACATTTGATCTTAAAATTGACATAACCTTAATGCTTGATATTCGCTAATATTTTCCCTTTTTTTATTCCTAAAAGAAAATGTTTATCAACCTTCTCGATGCGAAGGTGTCATTGAAGAGTTGAGGCAGTGTTGTATTAAATATTCCTCAAATTCTGTGGTTTGTGAAGGTATTGATACTTCTAAGCCTTATGAACACAAGACTGTTGATTATGTAAGTTATCTGTAGGAATGTATTCTTGAACTATGAATGTACTTTTTAAAGTTTATTTATATTTTTTCAGCAAAAAGTTTTAAAATAATACTATAATGCAGCAGAAGTTTCAGCACAAACATAACTTCAGTGAAAAAATTAGGATTCGGCGTTATCCTACAGCTTTTGTATATGTTGTTACATTTTTTGGTACCTGCCTTTCTTTGTCGCCTTTAATTTATTCTTTAACTCATTCAGAGGATGATCAGAATTCATTAAAACAAAGTCTGGGTTTTAAAATATCTAAATAAATTCAGATTTCTTGAGGTTATGGATGCTGTGAAAAGGGCTAAGCAAAGAATCAGGCAATATCCAACATTAGTGTTGCAGTGCAAAGAATCAAGTTCACAGTATGCAGTATGTGTAGTAAATAAACAGAATTTAAGAAAGGATGATTGTAAAAAAGAATTTGAACAATTCAAAGCTTGTCTTCTAAAGGCAGCAGCTCAAAATAAAATAAAATTGTAAAACTTATACTATAAAGTCAGTCAAAATGACAAAACAGCTTACTTCTAATATCAAGATTACTGCTAAGACAGCTATGAAGAAGAAGTCAATAGTACTAAATAATGTGGTTCCTATATGGATGCACTGTGTAATTGCTTTTGGAATAAGACTTGTATTTATAACATATGCAAATTATCATGATAAATATTTCAAAGTACCATATACTGATGTAGACTATAAAGTGTATACAGATGCTGCAAGATACATTATCAAAAAGGGATCGCCATATGATCGTCATACTTATCGTTATACTCCATTGTTAGCTCTACTTATGGCTCCTAATGTTCATATACACCCAGACTTTGGTAAAGTGTTTTTTTCCATTGTTGATATATTAGTGGCCAAGTTGATGAAAAAAATTTTGATTTTTCAAAATTTCAAGCAACAAACTGCAAATCTCTGTGCACTACTCTGGCTGTACAACCCATTGGCTATTGTTATATCAACAAGAGGAAATGCAGACTCTTTGGCAGTGTATTTAGTTCTGTGGACTCTGTATTTACTGCAAAATGATCAATACATCATGGCAGGCATAGTTCATGGCTTATCTATACATTTTAGACTTTATCCTTTGGCTTTTAGTTTAGCCATGTATCTTTACTTGCGAGAAGATAACATTTTTATACCAAATGTAAAACAATTGAAACTAGTTATATCATGTATTCTAACACTATTTGATTTGACTGCTTTATTCTATGTATTTTATGGGCATAAATTTTTGAATGAGAGTCTCATTTATCATCTAATTAGGAAAGATGTGAGACATAACTTTTCTGTATTTTTCTACATGTTATATCTTTCAGCTAATGAAGAACCAAGCATAGTGCAAAAAATTTTTACTTTTTTACCACAAGTTGCTATACTTGTAGCTTTGGCATTTCGCTATTCCACAAAAGAAAAATTACCATTTGCCATGTTTACTCAAGCCATAACAATGGTCACTTTCAACCCTGTTATGACATCTCAATATTTCTTTTGGTTCCTTTCTTTACTTCCAATTTGCTTACCTTATTTTAAAATGAGCATTACCAGGACTATTTTACTGTTAGCTGCTTGGATACTTAGCCAAAGCTTGTGGTTGTTTGCAGCATACTTATTAGAATTCAAAGGTCTGGACTCTTTCGACTATATTTGGGGTGCCGGTATTGTCTTCTTTGCCGTTAATATTAAGGTACTTGTAGATTTAATTGATTGTTACAAAGCATGAATTATTATCAAAAATTAGATGTAATGAAAATCAAGTTTTTATTTCTGTAAATTTTGTCTTGTACTTGGTAAAAGCAATAAAGTTTGTAGAAGAGAAATTTGATTGTTTAATAAAGTCTTGTAATGTGACCACTTTAATTATATTGATAATATTATATTAATAAAAACACATGGGGTTTAATGATTTTTTTCGAAATTTTTTATTGAAAAATTCGAAAATTATGTTTATTTACAACAAATGAGCTTGTCACTACAAAGTCAATAAATTGCAAAGACGTTTTGACATATGTTCTTTTTTTTATCAAGTACTTTTTTGTTATTTTCCGCAGGAATATAAAATTTGTATGTACAGATAGTTCCGTAAAGTAATAGTGGTAGATTTATTAAGGGAATGTAGACATCATTAATGACCAATATATAATATTTCAATCTAGAACAATCATGAACTGCCGCGACGGGAAGGATCGCTTTTGTAGTCCTTCGAACTGATGAAAATTTTACATAATAGAAAGAGAGATAGAATGACGTGAAATTCAGAGATCTTGGAATCGCAAAGCGCACTCGCATTAAGAAAACGTGATATCCCTTTTTACACCGAAAAAATGCATATTTAATCCACGCGCAATGGCTTTCGATTATTTACAATATATAACTCTTGTATACGCAGGAAGCTTTTATATTTTTTATTTATAATGGTTTTATATCCCCCTTCAAAAGCGATCCTCGTAGTGCGCCCCTCAAACTCGTCAAAGCCGAGAAAAGCCGAGCGATTTCTTTTATTTGCATGGGTTGAAAATGTTTGAAAACTATTTAGCTCCCTCGTAAAAGGAATTTATATTTTTTCTCTCAGCTCGTAGGCTATGTCATATATTCATTGCGTATATGTATGTATGTATATATGTATATATAAATATATATATATATATATACATACACACACATATTTAAATAACTTCTGTTTTCCATCACACACAGAGACTTGCATTGTAATCAAGCATGCGTGAACCTTCGAACCTTCAGAAAAAAGCGCTTTCATTCGAGTAATGAAGACTCAACATGAGTTAATAGATGAAACATGTTTTATATATATAATTTTTTTTCGCCTAACCACTTTCAGACGCTTTTCGACTCTTACAAATCTCTATATTACAGGATTCTTTTAGATCAATTTTTTATAGAATTTGTCTTTTGTTCGTTAGTTTTATTATACAACTAGACACATGCATATTTGAACATTCAATTAAGCCGTTATAGCGATTTCTTTTCGATAGAAAAATCACACATGAAAATTGAGGATGAGTGTGAAATGAGTGTGAATTGTTGATGACTGTGTACAGACTGAAAAAATAAAGAAAAAAATGAACTTACCAGAAATAAATACACGTACAGAATAACTTGCAAAGAAAAAAATGATGGAGTGAAAAATGAAATAAATAAAATTATAATTCAAATATAATTATGATATGGCAGGATTTAATGAAATAATAACAGCTGCGGTACATAATCCTTCTAAAAAGTGTATAAAATAATTGATACAGCTCAATCGAAGTAATATAATATAATATATATCGTTGCGTGATGCATTATAAATATAAATGTATGTCGTGGCGTTTAGGCCAATGAAAAATATACAAAAGGCACGTAATCATAATGTAATACGTAGTTATAGTAAATAGACATGAGTATTATACGATAACGGAATATTACGTGCTTAAGTAAACTGACAAAACGAAATAAAAATATGTAATAATTGATAATGATAAACTTACAACGTATACGCATCATGTTTCCAAAGGAAGTCGCAAGAGTAATATAACAAATTGCAGCATGAATCGAAGCACTTTATTTGGCGCGACAAGTCATCAATGCTTATTGCTGCGTGACGTTAAACTCAAAAAATGTACAAAACATTAAGATATCATAATAAAAAAAGAGAGAGAAAATCGTCTTTGGCAACAAAAAGTAATTATTCCAGCTTTCTGCCAAGAAATTTGCGCGTGCGAAATCTTATGAAAAAAACAGAAAACTTATAATGTACTATATGCATGAGAGAGTGGAACAGTCGTTTCGCGTTTACCTTGTAGTTATGCGCAAAGCTTTCGTCCTTGGCAGAAAGCACGAAGTAAAGCAAACACAACGCACAATTAGATGATTTAATCGAGAATCATATGATGGATAATTTTTCGACGAGATTCATCGTTAGGCGACAAGTATCGACAAATATAGAATTCATTCGTTATTGTTTCATTGGCACAGTGTCACATAAACAGAACTAAGGATATAATATATAATAATAATATATATATAAATTTTGATCGTCTTTTTTTGCTCCTTGTAATCGATCAATGGAAGATCTTATGTCTCATCGTCATTTTTTTTGTTAGTCGTGAACACGAGAAGTGGTGCGAGAGCTAGTAACGTAAGCACCTACTTTGACCTTTATGCATATACAATATATCTCGAAGTTGTTATCTTTTTTCATTCTACAGATACGTACAAAAAGTCTTTTCGATGTATGAGTTACGCAAAGAATAAAGCGACCGCTCATATTGGTTTTCATCTTATATTAAACAGCCACCGGAAGTTAAGCGACGGACGTGATCTATGGTAGAGTGCCCACTCATACATTTACGCACAAGTTGCTTTTGTAGCGTTAATTACAGTCTATCTGATATTTCACTCGGCTGTTTATTTGTTAACGACATACCGATGCGTACAAAGTGAAATTGCATCGTTGATTGTAGAAAACAATAGGCCAAGTCGTTATTTCAACGATCATTAAAAGTTTTTTCTAAAACAAGCTATTATTTATCATTTTAAATTGGATATGAATTGACCCTTATGAAAAAAATGGGTTTGTTATTTGTTCCAATACTTTGATTTGAGTAGTTAATTTCATTGTCGTTGAATACGTAACAGGCTCTTCGAGTGTCAATAGGAGCTCAATTTATTGACGTGCTTATTATTCTGATATTTTTTTAGTTCGTTTACAAAGTAAAGAGCATAGAAAAACCTAGTAATAATTGAACGTTACAAAAAATTATTTCTTTTTAGGTTTGTTCATGCTATGCGCAGAGGTTCAATGGAACTTGTTAATTGAGATCAGCCAAGTGTAGAAATTGGTTCAATTGATTTCATTTCCACGGTCAAGTTTTCTTTGTATTTATCATTATTCATTTTTAGAGTAGTCGCGTACCCCATAACAAATACCGATGTTAAATAAAAACTGCTATAAAAAGAGCTCTTTTCCACAGAGAGAACGTCACGCCTTTCTTTTCGATTCTAAACAATTTTGAAAAGTACTCTGTAAACTCGGTCATAACTTCATACACAATATAAATAAATAACATATAATAAAATACAGAGTGGAAGCTGACAGTTTTATTATGCTTCGGATCGAAATACAATATATCGGTTGATTGTACTATGTTGAAAAGTTGGTTTTTCCTTTGTTTATAAAAAAAATTCGATTCCAAAAAAATCACACAACTCATTTTTTGTATATCTAATAAACACTCCGATTCTCTTCGTATATGATAGAGGCTAAATCTGGCACGAGTGCACTGCACGAGAACAATAGGTCGCTTGTTTTCCTTATGCATATGTACATACATTCGATATATACGATTGCGCATCGGTCAATGAAAATTCGATTTGTATGCGAACTTTTTTTTCTTGATTGCAGTTCTGCACGTGTTCGAGGAATACAGTTTGATGTGACTGATTTTTTAAAATTGCTATGCGAACATTCGGGTTGGTAGTTTAGTTTTCTTTCAAACGTACGCATCTATTTCGATGAAATGAGTTAAGTGAAGAAATGTCCATAGGCCGTATTTCAAAGATAGTTACCAAGTATCGAAGAGCGTTCTTAACGATTATAATAAGAAATCCATTTTAAACTATCTATTCGTAAAATCTTTTGACAAATGACGAGTTTCGTTGACGAGCGTCCTTCCGAATCAGTATCACTTTTTTACTATTAAATTTGATCAAACACTAAAAAACTTTAACGAATTTGCTAATATTCTTGACATTTTATATAATAATTTTAAGCAATATAATAACGTCATGTCAATCATTTTAAACATTTTGAATAAATTATTTATTATAATAGTTAACTACTTTCCTATATATTATCACAGATATCATACACTGCTATTTATTACACGCAGCATATTAGAATAGTGCGAAAGTTATTTTTACCTCTGTAAATTGTATTAAATTATGAAAACTCGAACAGTGATTGGAAAACGAAATGAAATAGTAGTATTAACAGTCTTTTTTCTATGTTCGTTTTGAAATGCTTATTACTTTAAGTTATGCTCTTATTATCATTATGGATTGACAATGCTATTGTAAATTTAATTTAAAATAAAAAAGAGAGAGATAAAATAGCTCAAAAAATGCCTGGTGTATCAAATGCTATAGGGCAGTGCGAGATATTAAATTGAAATTTACTACTCTTGAGATTGACGTCATCGTTATTGCTTACTTCAGAAAAAATTGCTTCCGAGTTACTTTTGTATTCCATCAAATTAAACAAACTAAAAGAGCGGATTGTATTTTCAAAAGACCTAATTTTTTTCAATAGGAGCTATTCGGAAATATCATTCGTCAACGTCACAACGCTCGATCGGGAAACGTCAGAGCAGTGCTTTCAGCTCTACCTGATTTTTCACTAATATGCAAAGAAATTCATAATTGATAAGCAATCGTTTCCCACATGTACAGTGGTTCTAAGATGCCGAAAGTTTCATAATATTCGTAACTTCGTTTTTCATAAATTTACAGTAACAATCGATATTTTTAAACATCGTAAAATTTCTAGCTAAAACAGTGTCAATCACTCTTTGAAATGCTATCTTCGGTAGATGTTGCTGAAAAAAACTGAATAAAAACATCAATGACTGCTGGCATTATTCTAGGCTCATGAAATCGTCACGACAAGCTTTTTTATACAACGGCTGTTTATTGTTTTCGCCGCGAACTTTTGAAGCTCGCGGTTTTCTACGCAATGTGGCGAGCAAAATCTGTGCGTAATTGCATACGTATTCTCAATATATTTATTTTTATACACATTTAAACTCTTCAGATTTGTCTCAATATATCTATAATAGATTTTCTTTAAATCTGCGTCTCACTCACGTCCACACTTCGAATAAAAAAAGTACGTCGAAGTCTTAAGTAGATAACAGTATAAAATCTTCTGCATCGTTACAATCAATTCTTAGATAGAGATATGAATCAATCGCGGCTTTACCGTCGACGTCGTTCACGAATTGACACCCTCTCTCGCAGTACGCGCGAGAGAAAAAAAAAGAAAAAAAATCAGACAGACCTTCATCCGATTTATTTTAACCGGTTTAAAATAAAGCAATAAAGGTGTGCTAGTTGCAGTGCATTCGCTATGCCGACGTTCGGGAGCAGAAAAGGGGAGAGGGTGGCAAAGGATCAATGAACGTAAACGGCCGACGACGAAGCCCGGAGAATATGCGCGCATGCGAATAGTGATTCATAGTCGTTAAAAAAATATCTAACTAAACTTACACACACACACACACACACCTTACGAGCAACAGAGGGAGAGAGATGGGCATAACCGTGAGCCAATATAACTCATTATTTCTCTTATTTCGCGCTTTTTCTTCCTTCTCTATATATTTACACGAATGCTATTTTACAACGAGTTCCACCTCCTTTATATATTTATTTATATATTTATAGTTCTGTGCTTTGCTCTACAGTAATTACAATGCTAGTTGCCTTGGCATCAAAATCTTTTATTTACAAGATGAACTTTCGAATCGCCGTTTGATAGATCAGCCTGCCATGCACGTTGAATTGTCTATACTTACGCGTCACTGTCAATATTCACGTCGATTCTATAGCCGTTATCAATATTAATATCGTCGCGAAAAACCCTCTTTCTCCTCTTTCCCCCCTTTGCGTTAAATAATTGATAGTCTACCCTGTTTCGTTATCAATATCAATTATTTTCGCCAAATTCTTCTGGAGAAAATATCGCTTCTGCTCTGTACTGCACGCTAACGCGCTTCTGCTCTCTTTTATATTCTCTCTCGTTCGACCCGCAGGGCAGGAATCAATAGACCGTTGTATCGAAAAGTTCTGTTTTTAATTTTCCCTCTACCGTATCCGGGGCGATCGTATAATGTTCATAATCACCTCTAACCGTTTTCCTTTTTATTTTTAATTTCGACTATCAAAAAATCTAACAAAAGCACTTTTTCTCACGCTATTGTAAGAACAAATAAGTAAAAAACAATACACCTTATCTCGACAGCGCAAGCTAAACCTTGACGACTGAAACAAGCTTCAAAGATTAGACTCGAAGAAAGAGTTGCGAAAAATACGTTACAAACGACGATACACACAGCGCAAAACTTTGTACAACGCGATGCGATAAATCTCCGTACCTCAAAAAAGTAAAAAATGAAAACGCGGCTTGTATTCCGCTACACTCTCTATATACCATGCGCTGTTCGCGCACATTTTAACTTGTATATTTACAGAAAAAAAAAATGCGAAGACACTCGACATTCGATCAATAGATCATTAGGTGAAAATGTATACGTTCTACGTTTCGTATTGATCAAAGTGTAGTTTGTACATTCGAAGAGAATGAACAACAAAAATTAATTCTTTCTCTTTATTCATTGTTGAACTATAAAGTTAACACGTAGCTGGATCTCGAGTTACTTTTCTTTTTCTCCTGTTCTCTTTCTCTTTTTATCTTTGTGCGTGATTGTAGATAAATCGCGTCCCGCATTGTGATTTTGGTGCAATTCAATGAACAAAACGATTGAAAGGCATCCTTTTTTGTGGCCTACATTTTACTCGACATGAATTGCAGAGTGAAGCTCATCGACCGTATAAATTGGAAAAAAATATACAATAAATTCTCCCATGACTGAACAAGAGGAAGCTCTATGGTATAATGACTTACGAGATCCATCCATGCCTCTGATCCTTTGTTTACTGCTTCTTACTTTCTGTATGCAGTAAAAAGTTTTACCTTTTTTGTGATATCTTCTTTTATTATTTACTTTTTTGAGTACTCGTTTACTCAATTTAAGTAACAAATTTGAGTATGTTTTCGTGGCAACTTAAATCGAGTAAATTTTTTTTCCGTATGCATATATATATAATCGCTGCTACCCTTTTATCTCCTGGAATAATACTTTGCAGGCCAAGTGGAAACTTGCTCCGACGGTGGAGTCGCTAAACTTTTCTTTTCTTCCCCCTTCTGATAAATTTTTTTATCTTTACAAGGCAAGTGAGCAATTAGAATAACAATCATTAAAATAACAGCCGAACGGGGTATTTTTAAGCTTTGTCATCTGTTATTGGCGCATACCTCTCGCTAATCGTATTCCCCGCGGACTTGGTGCTCTGATGTTTTTCAGTGACCCGTAGCTCGCTGCTCTAAATTCAATTGTTTGCATTGAAACGTACGTTCGCCGATTAAAAGCGCAACGCCAGTGGAAATTCTATAAATACAGTCACTTTTGGGAGAAAGAAGAAGAAGAACGAAAAATGAGAATCACTAAACTGACGCTTCGAAATTGAAGCAACTTGATGCGGCTAGCCAAACTGGATTATTTCTACTTATTTTCTCATTAGCAAGTAAAAATATCTTTTCTTCCACTCGTTGAACGTATCATAAAAAGTCGTATACGCTTGGTCGCAGACGTAACTGCAGTGGAGTTGAAAGAAGAAAGAAAAGAAACGAGTTAAGGAGGGGGGGGGGATGGGCCACTGAATAATGCGTTAATTACCAAAGCGAGCAGGTGGAGAAAAACCGGATGAGAGGAAAACGCCGGATAACGCTCGTGCTTTAATGCCTTAACGAGAGGATCCCCTCCCGTAGAATAAAAAGAGTTTTTCTTTTAAGTCGATGAAAAGATTGTCGATATATCGCGGCTCCAAATGATCTCTCTCCTTCTGTCTTTCTCGCTTGCGTCGCAATGCACACAGTGCCACACGAAAAAATTCTCTCGCAACGACTTATTGATACTATTTATAACTTTTTCGCATGAATAAAGCACACACGCACACACGCAAATGGACGGCACTCGACGCTTGCGTTTAAAAATGTACATCGGCGAAATTTATACAGTGGAAAAGCGTCGAGCCGCCTTCGTAATTGGAAGTTATTGACTGCGCGGCGCCCACCCGACTTAAGAGATATACAAAGAAGAAAACAGAAAGGAAAAAGAGAGAATAAAAGATAGGTGTAACGTTGGACAATGTGCGCCGCCTTTTTTTGCCTCCCTCGTCCACCCATAGACGAGACGATGATGTGTATATCAGACGTCGTCGCAGTATCGATGTAGCAGTCTGAGCTCATTGAGCTCGAGCAACTGATCGTCCTCTTGACTGACGGCGCATGCAAGGTTCGACACCGACGACAATATCGACATGGTCGACGAGGCCCAATTGTGCTGGGCGGTCATTCGACGCCTGAGACGCACCTCCATCTCGTCGTTCCTCTGCTCGATGAGGCGTCGATGATCGCGCGAGGCGCGTCTCAATTGGCGCAGCACTCGCTCGACTTGCGCCACCGCGTAGCCGTTGCCGTGCTTGCGGTGATAGTGTCGATGCTGCTGCTGCTGCTGCTGCTCCTCGTCTTTAGCAAGCTTGAGCAGTTGCTCGAATTCGGCGGCACGACGGGCGAGCGCGTAGGCTCGCTCGCACAGGTCGCGCTCTTCCTCGAGCTCCTCTAGCTGTTGTAACTCGTCGTCGTAGTTTTGATCGGCTTGGGGGATGTGGGAGTAACGGTAGGTCTAGTTGGGCTCGATCGACGTCGGCCGGCCTCATACGTGCGTTGCCAGCGTGCTCACCGCCGAGGTGCGCTTCACCGTGGCAACTCCACCGTTTGGGCCGCCAGTTATGTAGTGCGCCGATAGCGGTGCCTGTACAATCAAAGACTAGACGTTAAACATTAATTAATTGTTCGACACTCTCCTCTATTCCCGTGTTCGTCGACGTGAGCTTTCAAACATGGTTTAACAACGATGTCTCTACTGTTACTGTTGCTGCTTTCATCTCTCTCTCTCTCTCTCTCTCTCTCTCTCTCTCTCTGTCTCTCTATGCACGTGGTGCGTGAGCGAATCGCTTGATCCACGATGGACTTTGTCGGCAGTAGCAGCGCCGACGATTGCGTGCTGTCGAGCATGCTCTCTCGTGCTTCAGCGCGATAATGACGTCCCATCCTTGATTGGATTTCATCGGTAATGATTTGAACTCGTCAATTCAATTACAGATTTGTCGAAGAAAGTCGAACAATATCTTGATCCGATGCACCTCAATGGCAGAATGCTTATTTAATTTTAATAGGTTTCAGTCACGAGGCGAGCTCATCCCGACAGTTATTGATCGCTGATCTCGATTGGTTTTTCATACGAAAATATATAACTAACGAAATAGTCCATTGTGCATCACCGCTGAATTGCAATATACACGAGCAAAAAAACCAATAGAATCGCGATGAGAGAAACGTCATTTGACCTGATTTCGCAACGACGACAAAGAAAAAGCCTGCTCATTCATCGCACGCACGCAAAAGAGCTGCCCAATTAAAAGAATATTCATCAGGCGCTCGTAAAGCAGCAGCGGTGACAGCAGCAGCGAAGCTAGTATGGGTGAGCGTATACATGTATGTTTATATGAAGAGGGAGAGAGAGAGAGAGAGAGAGAGAGAGAGAGAGAGAGAGAGAGCTTGGCAGCACGATAATAATTGATGGCTGAAAATTACCTGTGGGCCGGCGCCGTTGAGGGCATTCAGGTTATTCATCCGCATGGCCTGGGTGTAGGGCGGGGGAGCCGGCGTCACCCCCGGTATTGCCGTGTGGGGCGCGTGTCGCAGCTGCTCGGCCGCCGACATTCTGCAACCAACCAGCACACAAGACGCATTCAAACCTCACGGCTATTTGCTTGATGACGCAACCGAGTGCGGCCGCCCTGATTAACAAGCCAATCCCGCTCACACCCGCGCCTCGCTTCTCTCTTTGCACTCCTTTGTCACTCGTCGTTACGACCGTTGGACGGCATTCGATCTTGAAGAAATTGATTAGAATATAAATACTGACCTGAGATAAGGATTGCCGTAGGTAGCCGAGAACCTGGGATCTATAATCGGCGTTGTAGTTTGTGGCGGGGTAGCATTTCCTCCCAAGTTAGCATTGCTTAGTCCCAGCTTCTTGGATGCAAGTATACCGCTGGATGCTATCCTGCTGAGTGACTCGCGAGACGCGCCCATCGCCGCCTGCGTCGAGGGTGGCATGTAGTCGCGCGAGTAATCCACGTACGGCACGTAGCCGTTGTTGTTACTGCCATCCTGTATGCCGAGGGAGAGACAGAGAGGGATACGTGTTTATTGCAACCAGCGGCGTTTACGGCTGATTGGAGTTTCAAGCGACATTTCTCGCGCGCGCGCGCATGCTCCTGTGACGACAATGTCGTTGCGGAATCCCGAGTATTGAGCTAATTATTGACGATGATTAATTTTGAATTGCGCTAATTGCAGAGTACGTACATTGTTCTGGTGCTTGTTGTTGGCATTTTAATTGCAATCATCAGCTGCGCGTAGGTGTATATTTCACATACTTCAGTGCTACTCGCGCGAATTTCGAGTATTTTAACGGGTGGATATTTCGAACGATTACCTGCATTTTATTTGTGCCCTCGATGCGATAAACTTCATGCTACTAATGAATTTCAATCAGAGCTTCCAATTTATACATCAAGCTAATTATATAAAAAGTTTATTCAAATACAAATTCACCCTATGCACGCCCAGTTAATTTTCAAGACAAATTTTTAAATAAAATTGTATTTCAAATGCCACGTGTCATGTTCATTTAAACGCCAATATATGTCTGAGAAAAAAGATAATTGAATGAAATTTTTGAAAACCAAAAGTGCAACTTATTGAAAATAGAAAATAGAGCCCAAAGAATATCCGTTGAATGAGAAATAAATTCGATTTTCAATGAAATTTCAAACTCTTCAAAAATCTAAAATTTCATAGAGTAAGAACCAGTAAACAAATAGTCGTAGAACTCATTGGATATTGATCGGTGATGAATATGAAATCCGTGGGGCAGTTTGCGGTTCGACGAAGATAAAGAAATTCCAATCAGAAGAATGGGGAAAAAGAAGCAAAGTAGGGCAGAAAAAAATGATAAGGAACGAAGGACTCACCATGATACTTACGTTGCTCTTGGGCGGGAAAGAAGGCTCAGTATAGTCAGCGCTGTACCTGAAGCCAGCAATAGGATTAGGCACTGGTCCGGCAAGTGCGAGAGCGTTCACTCCTCGGGTGCTACCCTCGCCTTCACTGTCAAGCGCAGTCACGCTCTCAGCGTTACTGACGCTCGAACCCGCCCGTATGTCGGCTTTCACGTCCGACAGGTTGCTACTGCGGTCGCTCTCCCTATACCGGTCCGCATTCGAATCTGTCTCCTCTGCAATTCGTCAGAAACACATGTGGTTACGAACGCTCTTTTAGTCAGTTTTCGTTCCTATCAGCCCACAGATACATCAAGCTTTTAAATCAATCATTTCGCAACGGCGATTCAAATCCTTTTCAGATATATATTAGAAAAATGAACATTGAAAAATAAAAATAGCCCGTTTGCCCCAAAAAGCACGAATGAACAAGAATGGCTTTAATTATTTTCGAGATCTATAGTGAGCGGACGAGCAGGGAATTCTTGTTACCCGATGCATCGGAGCATAAACATTCAGCGAATTGGGAAATAGAAATAGAGAAAATAATCAGGCGGAATGTTGATGGCCACCTGTTGGACACGTATAAAACGCATTCCGGAAAACCCATTAAACTTAAGCTCGCTCGTGTGGGAGAGAAAAGATGGCTATTCGAATAAACCGAGAATTCGCCAGAGACAGTATTAAGATACTCACGCATGTCGTTGTCGTGTCCCTGCGGCACAGTCTTGGCTGGCTGCGGTTGCTTGTTGCGATCGCGGCAATGCAGTATTAGTATGACGATGATACCAACGAGGACCACGCAGATAACCAGACCCGCGACTATGAGGATGAGCTGCCAATCAACTGGAATCAACGCTGAGCGTCAAGCGCCGAGTTTAATAAAACAAGGTTGACTCGTGAACGAAGATGAGGTGCGCGCGACGTCTATATACCTCGCGTGGTGCTCGACCCAGCGATAAAGCTATGTGCGCAAACTCGCAATATTATTGTTGACGCTGAAAAAAGGTGGGCAACGACAACCAGCGGGCTACTCGTTATTTTTCCCCAACCGTTTATATGTATGGGTTAATAATGGATCGCCACGCAGCGGGCAATAACTATGTATCAAATTAAATTATCTCGTTAAATGCTCGTAAGCTATGCATAAAACCTCATGAACACTGACATTTTTATCTGATAATCCGTACAGAGATATTCACGAAATTTATCGATGATATTTTATTACTAAATTGATGAAAAAAACTCTCGCGCTGCAAGAAAAATATTTACTCTTAATTTAATTCTTGAAATTACTCGTTTGCACCGTGGTGAAAAGAGAATCTCTGATGCAACATTTGCATTTTTAAATAGCTTATCGATATCGCGAGAGTGAGAGTTCAATCCGAAGAGTGGTTTTATTTCTTTTTTCTTTTTTTTTTTTTTTTTTTGCTTGTAACCTGTCGAAAGTAATTTCGAAGATACAGCCCCCCCAAGTAAACATTATTGTCGAGAAATTAAAAGCCAACAAATTGCAGTCCGTCGAGTTTGAGAAATGCCGAGGGAGAAAAAACGAAGCTGGGCCACCGATAGCCTTCTCACAATAACGTTCTTTCGCCGCGAGTTTTCCTTTAATTGAATTCCATTCACCGTGCGACGACGACGACGACGACGACGACGACGACGACATCTTGAAACTTTTTCCTCTCTCTTTCGATTCTGCTCGAGTTAGTCAACGAAAAAGCGAGACGATGCCGATAGCGGGCAATTTCAAAAACAATGAAAAATAATTAAATGCTGGCTGACTGCGTTGTCAAAAATGTTACCTTTTAGACGACGTAAAACGATCGTGAAAATGACATTGCCTCGAATGGTACTTTCACAGTGAAGACGACATTTGTACGTTATATTTCTGTAATACATGTGCCCGACCAATAATAATTCAACGTGCTATGAATAATTTGATTTGGCAGCCATAACGACGATGTTGAAGTAGCACATATACGGCTTTTATGCAAGCGCGCATTACAATGTTAGTACGAGCAGTTCCGTACAAGCTGTCGACGTGAATTTAATACTTAATGGCAATGGGATGAAGCATGTATATAGATAGAGTTTGATAGTAATAAAAAATGTAGCATTTGTCTTATGGCTGAGGTTGTAATAATTTAAAAAAATTTACCATGCGTGGTGAGCTTGATGATGGCAGAGTCGGTGCCGTAGGCATTGGTGACAGTGCAATTGTAGTCGCCAAAGTAGGCCGAGACAGGATCGAGCAGGGTGAGCGTGCTGACAACCCTTTCGGGTTCGAAGTCCTCGTGCTTATAGAACGGCGTGTTGTTGGACGTGAAGTTGAGCTCACGTCCAGCGAAGCTCCATAATACCGATTCAGCCTTTGGCACCGTGATCGCTATACACTGTACCTGAAGATATGTGCATTACTGTCACAATCTTTATGTTGCTTACAATTTATCGTTGGATTGTAGCCACATGGAGTACTACAATTGATTAGTATTTAAACGTGCCTTACGTAGGCTAAACGTGTAATTCGATTCTGGGGCTAGTTCGGGAGAATTGTATTAGATTTTGTTGGAAAGCTACCACGATCGCGGCAATAATAGCAGCACCAATAGCAGTACAACTAGGCTATAAAATAGATTTTCTGCGAAATGTTATAGGGGAATGCTATTCCCGAACGGTTTAAACTTTTATCTGATCGTTCAGTTGCATGCCGACTTTGTACGTATATTTAGTGCCATTCGCAGGATCGGATTTCAGAGCCCTGTGTGTATGCACAACGCCACATCGTAGCGAACCAACTGTCGTTAAAGAAAAATGATGCTTCACAATATTACTATCGAACCAGCTCCTACTTTTTCTACCGTTGTACTGTTATGCGTCTGCAATTGAATTATAAAATTTTGATAGAACGTCTCGCCAATAACTATTCCTTTGCAAAGACCAATGTTTACCGAGGTTGGAAAGAGCTTATCATTCGTGAGACAACAAGGTTCTCAGAATTAATCTGATTCTCAAAGATCGTTTGTAACGTAATAACGTTCATTGCAATCAGATTATAAACAGTTAAGTCAATTAAGTTCGCACCTGAACAATTATTAATCAATCATTTCTCGATTATTCATTTTCAACAGAACGGGTTGAATCGAGAATTCTTTATCTGAAGCATGTGCGGTTAATTGAATAAAGAGCACTCCGAGTGAGAAACAGTTTACCAGCAAATCAAAGTTTCAATAGACGCGGGATGCGGCGGCCGTTAGAGTGTGTGCGTGTGTGCGCGGGTCTTGCATGACAGAAGGAGAGCAAGAACGAGAGTATTGCTGGCACGTACCTTGACGAGGCCCTCGTCGGGCACGTACTGGGTCCGCTGGGAGATGATGGTGGGCGGCGCCCTGATGTAGATGTTGGCCGAGCCAGTTAACTCGGGGAAGCCTGGCACGCGCGCATGGCAGTAGTAACGTCCCGCGTCGTTCTCCGCTCTCACCGACACGCTGATGTTTGAAGTCGTCGCGATAATACGATCCGAGTCCTCGTACGTCCAGTAGATCTCTGGCTGGGGATTGCCGTCTACGTCGCACTGCAGGATCTCTTGGCCACCGTAACGAGACTGCACCGAGCTTGGTGGATGCCTAAATTGCGGACCATCTGTGAACAAATAAATTATTTTGTTCATTGCTGTTGCTTTTTTCTCTAGCTTTTTTTTTACCCATATATATTTTTTGTACCGTCAGACGTGTCAACACGATTGATAAAAAAAATGTATGTTTTAATTTCTGCAAGTACAAGTGAGCCAACAAAGGTCCCAACAAAGATAGAAGTATAAAATAGGATTTTTCTCTACTCCCAGTTTTTTTAGATTTTTCTCAGAAGCAAACCCATTTTCCGGAATAAAAGATCAAACAATTGTGAATCGATTTATTTTATCGAAGAATGATCGTGTACATGAAAGTCACAGTCATTCCTTATGCAAAGAAAGAGATTAATTAAAAGTAATCCTTTCTCTTATATTTTCCATCAAATACTTTGATCTTTCCATTGCAAATAATTAAATTCAAGCTAAATATATAAATGAATTAGCGCAAATAACAAACTATGGGGATTTATATTGAAAAAATCTTTAATGATTATTATTTTTTCTTGTAATTAGTATCCACTTTTACTGAAAAAAATTATATGTACATTACAAAAAAAATAATTTTTCCAGGGTAAAGTAAACAAATTCATAAAACAAAGTATGTTAATATAAAATGCGATTCAAAAGTGAAAAGAGTAATGTTTTCTGTGAGCGAAAAATCGGATATTTTTCGCGAAATAACAAAATATAACGTGCGCTTTCATTAATCACACCGTATTTACTAAAAAGAATAAACTTTTACGATGAATCATTATTTATTTCGAAATACTTCAATTCAGTCATTATCGCTTTTGATAACTGGAACAGCCAGACGCGAGAAAGAGTGAGAGAGAGAGAGAAACAGAGAGAACGTCTGATATTTGGAATAATTAGAGTGAATACACTGGATTTTCCAACAAACACGAGCTCGACAGTAGCTGCCATTGATAATCGTACGTGGCTCCTCTCTTCACTGACAGCTCGACTGAATATGAAACGAGGCATACGCACATCCAGAGATATACACGGCACGGAATTGTTTTGAAAATATGCATTCTGATTTTCGAAATACGCTTATCACTTCAGCCTGAAGTTCGCATGGTAAAAGCTTTTTTTCTCGTTTAAAAAGTATACTTAAAAAATAGTAAACGGAATATGCGCAAAACTTGTGATACGTCTATGCGAATATTTGTTTGATGTATGTAGACATATTTTTTTATATAGCTGATATATCTGTACACATATCAGACAGATATTGGCAGAGACACATCATAAATTTTTCACATATTCCGTTGGTTTTGTTAAAAAAATAATTACATTATTTAATGATTGACGTAACAATATATGTATATTTTTAATAAACGATGTGTAAGTCATGAAATGAATGTATCGTCGGAATATTGGAATGATAAAGGCATGGAAGAGATCCAATTAAAAATATTGGATTTTATCTTATTCCGATTGAGCATGGAGAGGAAAGAAGTTGGCGAGTGTTAGTGGACTTTTTTGCAATTGCGAAAATCAATCGACCATCGTAAAAATGAATTTAATTTCTAGTTTCAAATGCCGATTTCGCGGAATCGAGAATTAATAAATTTTCAACTAAATGAATACAGATAAAATGGGCCACGAGATCAGCAATTCGAATTATTATTTTGTAGAATTGAATTGAAACGTCTACATTAAAGTAATTCAATAAAATGTGTCACGCAGCTTCACAGCGCGAATAATCGACTAACCAGCGGTTCATAATAAACTTGGACCAGCAGAATTAACGAAGCATCAAGTGAAGCGACTTGGAGAATAATTAAAGAGCTCTGATAGTTCTCCGTCTCTGTCTTTCTCTCTGCAGCGGTTATTGGGATTCATCGCTGATTAACTTTCTGGCTTATTGCCGCATCGCATGCGCCATGGCACTTAACGCTCTTGGCGCTCATATATCTTTTTTCCTCTCTGCAGCTCAGTAGGTATATATACTCACACGTAACGTCCAGAGTCTTGGTCTCTTCACTCTTGCCAACCTCGTTGTACACCTCGCACTTGACGATCGCGTCGTGATAGTCGCGTGTCACGTTGTGGATCACCATCTCCGTCGTGTAGTCGCCTACCGCTTTCCTGTCGTTGATGTACCATCTGTCAAACCAATACTGCGATTACCATCATATTCTCGTTTGAAAAGTTACAGGTCAGAGGTGTAAGAAAGGTTACGATCGCGTTAGCAGATTTGATACATGCTATGCGCACATATACAGCAATATGAGTGATTTTCACGAAACAGTGAAATTCTTACGTGTACGATATTTCATGGCTTTAAGAGCTCTTAAATCCCTCCCTAGCGAGCTCGAATATACCAGTAATATTGCTTTCCAATACACGCGCATAAAAGCCTCCGATAAATTTATTACATCGCGCATGTATAGGCTGTAGCGAGCAGAGCAGCAGCGCCACACCAACGTAACGCCCTTGAATTTGATAATGAAAGCTCCTCGTTTTCTTTGTTTCTTTTACGAGCGAAAGCACCCATATCAGGCATTGCCGGGCGAGAAATACGCGGAAACGAGTTGCGAGAGTTATTACTCCGTGCTCTGCTCGTGTATACGCGCACGTAAGGGAGGTTAAAATAAAAAGAAGAAAAAAACAAGAAAGTTTTCCCCGACAGCTAACTTTGACACATGATAACTTTCATGGCTTCAGATGTAAGCCTTGCAGCTACGCCGCCAACTATTCGCACAAGTCAAAAGCAACTGCGTATACTGCGCGCGTACAAACTCGCTTCTGACCCGCGCTAAAGCCCACCTTTAGCTAGCAAGTTTGCGTTAAAAAATGTTCGACCTCTCAGCAAGCTTAGCCGCTTCAATCGTGAGCATCAACGATCATTTATTATTTTTTTTTTCACCTTAACTGCTCGAAAGCAGCGTTGATTTTTCGTAATTTCAGCTTCGTATAATACGTTGGAAAGGCTGGCTTTTCGATCGAGAAAAAAGAACGCTCACGCGTTTTAATTTTATTTGCAGGTACTTGCCTATAATAATCGCGATTAAATCTAAAGTTCATGCACGAATTACTGTGGCGTGCGCGTCTGATAAGGTAGGTAAATATTGAGGTGTTTGCGCAGCATAAATAAATTGGACGTTTTGTATTATTCGCTTGACTTTATGGTCGCGGCCAATGAAGAACAAATAGTAACCACGAGCGAGTCTTTCTGTAAATATTTAAAAGCAGCCTGTTTTTTATCCTGCTCTTTCTGCGCTTGTAGGCATTTATTATGTTTTATCCCCCTCTACCTTCCCAAGCGCCAGTAACAAGTTGGAGTAATAGGTATGCGTTCAGTTGCGCGGCAAACGCTACAGATTAGTAATCTTGAGCGCGGAACGTGCGCGCGGGAAAAGAGCTGGGTCAGATATGACATTACTCTCTCCGATATCGATCTGTTGGTAATGCGCGGGACCCGTCTCTTCTTTTCTCTCTCAGCCTGTTTTGTTTTATCTCTCTGCTCCAGCTAAGTTTACAATTGAGTTTATCGATGTGCATGAAATTACAAATTTGGTAGTCGCTTTTGCAGTAGAAAGAAAAAAAACTGCCGTGCATCTATTGTGCATATCGAACAAAAAGAAGGGAATAAACGAGTAGAGCGAGTGACAGAAGAGCTGCATCAGATACAAACGGGAATCGGCCGTGTATGACAAGTCAATTTCTTATGTCAGCTTTAATTCTAGTAGCAAGGCAGACACACGTACAAGCTAATGGTTGATCAGTATCAGTCGACAGCGAACCAATCGATCGTCGCACTGGCGCGAGGGGACGAAAGAAGAATCCATTGCAATTGGAATGAAATGCAGGCGAGCACATACGTATAGACGCACACGCGAGCGCAGAGCGGGAAAGGCCAGAAGCCAGCAGTAGCGGCACGTAGAGCGAGAGAGACCGCCAGTAATCAGCCGTACACGCAATCAATCGAAGCAAAGAGTAGCGCCGGTGGTTTCTCTCACTCGCGTGTACGTTTGTGTTGCGCAAACAGCCGTGACATAGAGACGCGGGCGTATACTCACTTGTATTCCATGATGGGTGGATTGGCCTCGGCGCGACACTTGAAGCGCAGCTCGGAACCCTCGCGTATCCGCTCGTTCTGCGAGAAGCCAGGGTGGATCTTGAGAGAAACCTTCGGCGCGTAACGGACCTGCACAGGAATACAAAATAGTTTAAAAACTGCAGCGGAGCCAACTGCGGAAAACTCTCTCTCTCCTCGCTTCGTGTTCGTTAGCGCGAAAATTCCGAGCTGCTTGGCAGGCCGCGGGCGTCCTCCCTCGTTTTGCTCTTTTTCGAGCCAAACGAACCGACGGCCAAGAGAGCGGCCAAAGCTCCACGGGTCATTCCGCATCAGCTGATCGGGCTTTCAAATAAATTCCAGCAGCAGACTACCGCTGTGTGGCCTCTGTGTGTGCAGGTGAACCGACGCTCGCATCCATACGCGCCGAGAATAGCAGTACTGCGCGCAGCACTACTATTTTCAGCCGGTTGACAGTCTTTCGATACGTCCTCAGAGCTGTGCATGTAATTTTCTTACTTTGACAACTGGATTGAGCGGAGCTCTAGTCAATTTTTCATGGACTTGTTATTCGCGGCACAGGCACAGCCCTTTGCTCGAGCGTCAGTCATTAAATTAATAGAAGCTCACGATATTAAATCAGGTTTGTAGCTTGAAAGAGCGCCACGGCAAATTCAAGTGGTGTGAGCTTTAATTAATCGAATAAACCGTCGGAAAGCTGATTGGAGATGTGATAAAGTTGCGCGCTTCCTAACTTGTTCCGGCGTCGAGCGACACAATAATTGCATTATTTCAACTTGGCCCAGCGGCACGATTAAATAAAGCTTGCAATAAGCAGTGAGGATGAAAAGTCGATAAACTCGCGAGCGTTAAAAATCTTTGCCCAAGTTTCGCCTCGAGAACGGTGGTGAAGAGATATCGCGAGCGGCCGCTCTTCGAATGGTCTCGATGACTTGCGCTCGAGCGAGGAAGAGAGTTTTCGCGGTCATTAGTCGCTGGCAATGCACGTGCGCGCGAGAGGAAAGTTTGACGGTGGGGTATCGCCGGCGCCTGGCGTGCGAGCACGCAAAGAACATTTTACCTCGACGCGAAGCTTGGCGTTCTGCGGCGTGCGATCCGCCGCATTTTGACTTTGACAAGTAAATGTGGTGTTATCGTGCTCCTTGCGTGGCGTCACCGTCAGGATCGATTTGACCGTGTACAGCGGCCCGTCCTCGTATTGTATGTGCTGCGTCTCGATTCCACTGTGCAGCACCGTGCCCAGCCCGTCGATCCACGTTATCTGCAACAGACGCAAACCAGAAAGTTTTTAGTGCACTCGCTGCAACTTTTTTCGACGAGTGCTCGCCAGCTCTCGCGCGATCCCTTCCCCAGCGGACAGCCCCACGAGTAGCGTGCCAACGCCACTCACCTGCAATTATTGTTCTGGCTGAATTTGCGGTCTTAATGGAGATGAGTTCGGTCTTACCCTTTCGCTTATAACTCAAATTCTCGTTCGAAAATCAAAGGCTTCTATCGCAGCAAAAGCTGCGCCTTTTTCTCACCAGTGGCAATTATTCGTGCTTACCCCACAACAATATTTTCTCGCTCGACCCATTTTATATCGTTATGCAGCAACAGCAATTCCTACAAAATTCATTTTCTCATTCGGTATCGTCCGTACAGTAACGAAAACAGACGAGAATAAGCAATAATAAAAGCTCTCCGCAGTCTGACCCTACACGGACTCTTCTACTTGACTATCGACTTGACTTGATTGCACATTGTAGAGTGATTATCGTTTCTCAATCTATGCCATCATTGCTTTTCGTAATTACGCAAGCTAGCGCAATTCGTGACAACTAATTGCGAGCACAATGTGTTGCTTTTGTTCAAACTCATAATCCAGTCTCAAAGCTGAGAGCGCAAAACCAGCGAGCGAGAATAAAAAATGATTCCTGTAGAGAAACAAGTAGAAATTGTTTGGAGTGGCGTATGTATATACATGTATGCTCGGAGTGGGCGCGCGAGCGATTAAAGATCTTCAGCCTCGCTGTACACGCCCCCTTTGCACACCCACATAAACCTATATGCGCGCGCACATAGGACTCTCTTGAAATCGCTTTCGAGATTATTAGTTTGGTCGGCTTGCGACTTCGACTATTCCGGCACTTAATGACGCTCTCGGAACCACGATAACACCGCCATCGGAAGCTTTAATTAATGATCGTGCAGAGACCTGCGCTATTAATAAAAGTCGGCATTGCGAAACATGAACAACATAGGAAATGGAGGAAAAGAGAAAGAGAACGAAGGAGAGAAAAAAAAAATAGCGGAGCGAGCAGAGAAGAGGAAGAAGAAAAGTCGGTGGCAGCTTCATGAAATTCAAAAAGTCGTAAACTCGGAATTCGACGCCATTCTTTGCCGTCTATTCGGGCAATCTGTGATTCATGTAGCTGGGGCAACGACAGTTTTCGCGTCGAATCGATTTCCCGGCGCCACATACTCGGCCGCATTTTTCATCGCTACGCTGGCGCGCACACATACACAGCAGAGCTGCGCGCGCGAGCAAGCAGGCGCACACGTATACACATACAGATCGCAACGCTTTGATCCGGGCAGAGCAGCGCTCGGGGAATTCCACGAATTTCTTTATCTCGGGCCAAATGCATTGTGCACACGGCATATAGGTATAGAGCGACGATGCGAAGGCAGCTTCTTGCAAAGTGCATTACGGGCCAACGCTACTTGACCGGAATAACGTCGCAATATGCGCGCGCTCGCCCGTCGCGACCGACGATACCTGGCGCATTCGTTTCTTTTGATATGAAAGCGATATGTTACACCGCCATCTGTTTGAGGCCTCGCGTGGCCGTGTGATGCACGCGAGGAAGAGAGAGGGAGAGATGCTTTGCGTGCACGCAATTGCGAATTCGCTAAATGGCGCTCGCGAGTTAATGGGATTCAGCGCGTGCCTGCGTGGATTGAAACTTTCGGTTGCGCACCCGCGACAGCCTCCCGCCGCGTTCACCCGCACTCCACTCGCGTATCGCAATTTTCCTAATTCGCTTCGCTAATTTAATGCACTTTATGCGGTCTGTGTGTATATTTGGCCGTGCTTCGCCGTGCGAAATAATGTCCAGTTCTGAGCGAGTAATTTCATTAATGCCCCGCGACATTATTTCCGCGATTAAATAGCTGATTTGTATCAATTTCCGAGCCTCTCTACGCTCATAATGCTCATTAATTTAATCGTTGATTTATTTGTCACGGCCTTTAACGATTTATATTCCATTGTAAATCAGCCTTTCTCCTTCTTTCACTGCCTAATTGGCATTTCCAAGAGTTACGACCGGCTCACTATTTATGGCGAATTCATTGAACTTTACGGAAAAATTACTTTTCGAACAGACAGATACGACAAGATGCTACTAGGTCGCGAAGCGCATCGCAATGAGTAACTATCGTTGAAATTCGCTTGGTTGTTTGCTCGACCATACATTTCTATGGTATTTTAGCTTTCAAGTTTTGCTTTCGCAGTTTAAGCTGCATGTCATGCATTACAGGCTGAGTGGCTGTTCCCTTCTGTATAGTACGCCGGTGAAAAAAAAATCCTCATTGAAAGCTTTACCGACATTTCCAAACTGCAATTGTGCGCGTCGAAACATAGACGCAAAATTTAATGCTCCATTTCGCACGCTCGCACTCTGCAAATCCGGTGTATTCCGCTGGATCGTAAATGTACGGGAGACACGAACGTAATTCCACAACGAATCTCCTCGAATTTACAAGTGATGCGGCTATGATTAAAAGCGTCGCTGGATGACATTTGCCGCGATAACCGAAGTTTTCAGCGCACTCGCACTCTTCTATTTGAGCTAGTTTTCAATTTTATTTCGGTTCTCCATATGTAGCGAAACGTTCTTTTTTTCGATTGGATGATTTTTCCTAGAACGTACTGGCCTTTTTTTTTTTTTTTTTTATTAGTTCTCGGTCCAAACTTGTGGACACGTGTAATTTAGGACGGGAGAAAAATAAAATATTTTTTTGTTTGTTCAAAGTTTTCGTCTATTCGGGAGGTCAGCATGTTCAAAAATTGACAAATATCGCGCTCGTTCCGTTTGCTGTTTTTTTTCATTTTTTATTGACTGCCGTACGTTATTCCATTCAATCACACCCTTTTTCAATGAAAATTGCAGTATTGCAATACTACGAAAAAATATTTGTTGTCATTATTTATTAAAGCTGGACAATTTTTGTATAAAATGCAGCCGATTGACAGACGTGTACGCCATCGCAGTGACGTTCAACTTAATTTAACCGTTGGCAGTTTTTTCCTTCCGTTGGTCGAGCGCTCGTAAAAGTAGCGCATATTGGAGAATGCGTTTGATATATCACAAAGAGAATAAAACACGTATATTGTGTGTTATGCCCATTTCATACGTGTATGTCACGAATTAAGTGATTTTTATGATTCGTGCACGTATGTCACACAGAGATAATTCTTTTATATTATACGAATTAATGTTTAAATGTTTCTCAAAAAAGTAAGTAACAAAGGAAATCGCTATTCCGATGGTGCCAAGTTTTCCAGTTTTCATTATGATAAACTGAACTTTTGAATAACGTAGCATATGTTACGATTGGAAGGCTACGATGAAGATACGTGGTAACCGTAAAAAACTTTCAAGTAAAGTACATTTGATAGGAAAACATGATCGCATACCCGCTCAAACGATAACCAATCAAATTGAAAGCCACTAGAATACCTTTGCATAGTTTAATAATGAACGATACAATCGAATGAAAGAATGAATTTTGCGCATCTTCTAGAAGAAAATGAAATCACGCTGTCAAGACAAAAGCTCTTCCAGTGAAGATTCTACGAAATGCCATTGTTAAAACAGGAATTAAAGCAGACGAAATCCAAGGTAACGAAAGCTTTCTGTCTGCCTCATCATCATTAATTAACGAGTCGCCCAGCACTAGCAGCAGTAGCATTAAGCTATGCGCAAACGCGCAGCCTTATTTGCCAATGCACAAAAGCAATCCAAATCAAGCTCGCGCGAGCACAAGAGAGCGCAAGAGGGAGAGCAGAAGTTAGCTTTTATCTCGAATGTGAACGGCTTAAATTCGAGTGGGGAAGGGTATTGGAGGGGAGCTTTTTAATCGATGAGCCTCATTAAAGGCTTGGTCGGCACGAAGGCGCGCACAGCCCAGGGCGACTGCTATAAGGAATTGATAATCAAAGGCGTCGGAAAGCGAACTTTGGGTTATAATTGTAAACCAATTTACAGAAAATGAAGATATTGCAGTCCTGCGCTATATCCTTGTTTCTCGACCGCGGTACTTGTAAGAATTCAGATCTCAGGTGCTTGTAATTGCATTATATGTTAATTTATTCAATTATTAAAAAAATTTATCAATACAAAGATTTTCTTGCTATTATGAAAATTACTGGAAAATACAACTAATTCTAATCAAGGTATTTTAATATGAAATGGCTCGGTCAATACGAGTTTCAATGGCAGTTCCTTTCTACTTTACCCCTAAACGCTAAGTATTAAGCTACTCGTCGAGTACCGAGAAATGTTTTTGAAGTATAATTCCCTTAAACGGAATTGTTGTCTTTATAATAATTCAACTGGCTCCAAAAAGCTCTAATTATAGTATATCTCGTTCGAAAACGTAATTCAGGAAGTTCTATAAAATATCCAAGCATAGAAATTGGACAGGAAAAATAAACGAACATCGCTGAAAAACTAATTACAGATTATGACGTGAACTATCCCATGAAAATTGTAGCAAATGTGATTTGCGCCAATAATAAAAAGGCCGCATACTAAGCTCCGAAGCCGATGATCTCTCATTTAGTCTTGGCAAAATTACAAGCACGTCGCGTCGCGCGCTTTTGATGCATATTCCTCACCCGAAAACTAAGATATCGCGGCAAGTGTGGGATTGGGGGTGGAGGGGTGGTACTATTATGTCACTAGTTTATGCATACGTATACGTTTATATAACTCTACTTAGGCAAATCATTAGTTTATACGAATCAGCAAGGAGCGCTCAACAATCTATACAACAGTACCAGTGACAGGGACGTTTGAACGGATAATTTATACGGTGTCTCTCTCTCTCTCTCTCTCTCTCTCGCTCTTTCTCGTAACTGTAGTGGTGCGAGAATTCGCAGAGAAATCGTCGAGGAGAATTATTGGATCGGATGCTCGTAATCGGATTAGCGCGTCGAGCGAGACACAGAGGGCCAAGCCCATATTAACTAGTCTTACCGTGTAATCGAGC